TTAGCATGATATTTCAGGTTGCACCGTTTATATGCAAAGCAGTGTATACTTGTATATGAAATGACATTTACAAGGAAAAGTAGGAACAATATAGGATGACCAGTAATTATATACAGATACCGTTAACCCATTACATGTTTCTCGCTGGTTAAACAATTTTTCCTTGTCTTCGAATTCACGCGTATAGTTGTAGCTCAGCTATGCTAAGGTTTATATGACGTATATAATAAAAAGGATTCACAGGGGGCAATGTAGGTAGGTATCTAGCGTAATGTGATATATCGTGCAGTATAAAGATTGCACAATCTACAGAAGTGAATTACACCTTCAAAAGACAACTAGTGAACAAGATCTGTATAATTCAGTTGTGTTTCTTTCAAGACTCGTTAGTCACTGATGCCAGGAGAGTAAAATTTTGAAACCTATCGGGCGACTGAGAATAAAATGTGAAAAAAGAAATGTCAAAATCTAGATCGTGATGTACACTAACACATAACTTTATACGTTTCATATTTTAACTACTTTTGAATTCTGAATTAACAGGAAACAATTAACAGAGAACTTTAAATGTTGAACCAAGTTTTGTGATTTTTTTTTCAACAGTATTAACAAGCATTAACGGGTAATTGGGCCACTCCGTGTTGATTTATACTAACGCTATTGACATCTCGTTACCTTGACAACGTTAATTAACAAACGTTATCCATGACACGGTGAAGGTGTCTATGTCCATACACAACCGGCGCTGAAATTGACGGCGTAATATTTCTATAAAGTAGATTAATCTCACTATGGTTGGAAACCTTGACTACATGTTTTATGGCTAAAGCTATCATAATAGTGGAGGAATCTGCTACAGATTTGACAACTCATCAGCATTATCACAACCTAGCGAGAACAGAAATTACACAAATATGGACGACAATGTGAGAAGCACGGTCATAAATATCTATATTCGTGGTCAGTAGGGGTCACCTGCCACAAGAGGCGGGAGAGGTTATGTAACCCTGGTGTGTATAATGGTAGCCCTGACAACCTAAGTGAAGTTCATGACCATAGAGAACGTAACATATCAGCTGTCATTTTAGGTCTGTTCCATCACACATAACACGCGACAGCAGAAACTTCTATTGTTAAGAATGTTTCCGTTTAATGGAAATAAGTGCCATGAGGCTAATTAATGCTGTCATATAAACGGCTCCCTTAATCACGAGTAACGTTAAAAGGTTATTGATAGGGGTGTTTACAGAAATGACATTGTGGTTTTACAGAAATTAATCTGAAATAATCGTATGGACGAGGTGAACGTGCTTTTTAACACTATATACTACATAAGTTTTATCACATACTGTATATACACCTATGTTATAACGGGTGACAGAATTCATTCCAGCTGTTACGTACAGCATGACTTTGTGTGAAATATATGAAGTAATAAGAAAAATATATACCTTCAGCTAAGTTTACGTCCAAGTAAACAATTCAAATGTTTGTAATGAGTTTTAGCTGTAGACATTTCTAAATTATACCACACGAAAGAAACATGACAAATAGTCCATGATTTGTCTTAGTCTGTGGTGGCCATATACTTATACGTGGCTCTGTGTTAACGTCACGAGGGTCTTTATGAATTTTTAATTAACGTAATATACCCATATGACAAACACTAATTACACAAAAAAATAACATTTTGGTTTTATCTTGGAAAAATTCATACACCTGACTTGTAATCGAGATCTTGTAAAAAAACACGGTTAATTAAGGTAAACAGCACGTCATTATTAATATTTTCTAGGGAATAATTTTAATAAACAGAGAGGTATGTTTTCAGAATAAACGCACTTGTTTTTCCTTTCCTTACATTGTTTTACCAAAACCAAAAAACAAGAAACACAATTTGTAAGATATAGATTGTTTGATCGTTTAAAAATCGTAGAAGAACGAAATGGTTTCATATCAGAGTTTCGATATATGACAAATAGTATCATATTAGAGTTTCGATATATTGGTGACTTCATTTTAAGGATATTTTCGTGGAGCTTGAATGTTGTTTAATCTTGTACAAATTTTATATTTTCCATAGGTCATCTAGAAATGTTTTTATCCCACGAAAATAATATTCTTGAGAGTAAACTATAGAATGTGTAATATCTTTCTTAATCGTTATGAAATTTAAAGGGCTTTCTGTTGCTCTTACTGTTTAAGAATCAAGTTGAAAAAGAATAAGAAACGAAAACGAGATAGCCTTTTAGTTATCGTGCATACGAATGATTAAAACTGGCATGTGGTATAAGGTCTACGCCAAAATTTTGTTCATGTTTTCTCATTTAACATTAAACGCAAAACTGTTAGTGAAAAACACCCATTGAGTACGTTTTTCAAGGGCTCGTTAGTAACGTTGCGAGTACAGAGTGTTACCAAATAACAACGAAACCATTGACATGTCAACAGCTTGTGGATGTCAACTCAAAAGCGATGATACTAGGACAAAATATGAACAAAAGAAAGACCTACATGGAGACTTTTCATAAACCTACAAGAAGAACCAGGTATTCCGAAAATTCAAGCGTCCTCTGCATTGTTGTTCACACCATGTACATTTTGGTCGACACAAGCAAACAGAGAAGGCAACTGAGGATAATCGAAATGTGATATGAAACTGCACTTGTTTGATACTCATAAGAATACCTGGTGTCCCCGTTGATTTTTTTTAACTTTGTTCTCATTTGGGAACGTGACATTATTTACCAGTTTTGACCAAGATTTACAAGGTGGGTATCGACGATGACAATTACCTTTCCGGAACACCTGGTCTTATCATCCTTATACGTTTTGCTTATTCCGTGTCTCAGGTGCCGCGTAAATCATTACATTGTTCGTGTTTTGTCCATATGATCATTGAAAATCTAACTTCTGTTAACACGTAGGCAGTTTCTTTGCTGTGTTTTCTGATACTCGGATACTAATACAATAATAGAACTAAATTGGAAAACAAGATATCAATAGGAATCATTATATAAATGCATGTCACGCTCCAATTAATTCGAATAATGGCACGGTTTAAAACAAACATATGTATTTCGTTCTTCAGATATATGAAAAATTCCGAAATTTATTGAATTCCAGGGCTAATATACCTCCCCATGTAAATCTGACTTCTTTTCGATGACTTTGAATTTTCAAAAGGCTTTACAACTTAAGCTTTCATATCACTCACGAGTCCTAGAAAGACGACACAGCTACATTATGCAGTATAATTCTTTGTTTGGTTCTACTGTATATAAAAATAAATTTGTATTAAAAGATCCTGATCACTTGTGCGTTATAAGCACAAACATCGTCTCGCGAAAAAGGATTATATTCCAAATTTTAATTGATAATGCCGATTGTCAATGATACTTAAACAGTGTAGAGGGACAGTATCGTGAGCTTGTCCTTGTGTTTATGGTAATGGCAGTGATGTTTTATAGGTCCCTAACAACCGCAGTAAACGTCACTGAACAGTCAGGCATGTGTCTAGCAAAATTGTATATAGGTTGCACCGGATAGTTTTTTATATGTTGGTCAGTCTAGTCACGTGGCAGAAAATGTGTGAAACGATTCCTGCAATAAATATATCTAACGTGTTCATGACTAACGTTTAACACGTGATAAACGTTTCATTTCTTGACAGTTTTTTCAGATTAGATATATATATTGGGAAAAAAAGTGACTTTCCTTGTCGAAAGTATTTTTCTTTGTTAAAAGATATTGGCAAACCACGAAATTTTAAACCATTGGGTAAAATATCTATAAATATATAAATAAAAGTTAAAAGAAATAAAATGTACCAAAATGACTTTTGAAAAATGTATAAAAGTTGGATCTTCATGTTAATTGTTTTAATAAAATGGTTTGAAAGACGTTATTATTTGAACAGTAATTCAGACATCGTTTGTATGTCTTGATTGATTTCAAAATTATATATATCCTGTAAAATGAATGAATGCATACACTGTCATAACCATTGATATATGTATTACATTTAAAGGGTTAAGTTAATTGCTTGGCTATATTGATGAATAACAATACAAACAAATCTTATGTAGGTTCTTTACGGTAGTGTTATAACAAGTATACATCACAGACATGATAGGCACAAATCCGCCATGTTTTCATTATTCAATAACGACGTTATGTAACCTTAATGACCATGTTCTGTCACTTGCTGTCAATCTCACAAATATAACTACTAATAGGCGCGTGTACTTTGTGTAATTACCAATGATTGTATGTTGTACGAGACATACAGCCGATCGGGCTTGTGTATATATCGTTTCTATTACAATAAATCTAGCAATACAGATATTTCGGATATGGCTGAATTTCGTCTGATTTATCCTCTGTTTGAAAATTAACCATCGAGTTATTATCCAGTTTGATGTTTTTGATAAGAAAGATGACAATCCTCTGTATCATAGTTGTTCTTTTCTTCGATTTTGATAGTCAACGTCTCCTAACAACAAAAACGTGATATCTCAACTACACAAGTGTGTTCGATATCGAGGCTTCATGTGTACCCTAAGCGTACAAAGAGAAAGCACACTTCGTCATTGGTAAGAGACGCACTTTGTTATTGGTAGGTTCTGCGGTCTCCCATCTGTATACTGTAAGAACTATTCAGCACTGTACGATCTCATTACTGAGTCACATAACTATGGTGGCTGATTCGGGACATCGTAATTTTGCTTCGTTTAATGGGAAGCGATATCACGATACCACGATGCGATATCACAATAACACGATGCGCTATCGTGGTATCGCATCGCGCTATCGTGTTATCGCTTCTTGCTATCGTGGTATCGAATCGTGATATCGTGATATCGCATCGTTCTATCGTAATATCGCAATCTCGCTTCCCATTAAACGAAGCGATATTACGATGTCCCGAATCAGCCACCATACAGAACAGCCATTTTCTGACTTTCTGCTTAATGATGGTTTATTTCGTTTGTACCTACCCAGTACCCTCCGCAGTTCAGGCCACTGTCCTCCATATTTTGTGGTGTATCGTATCCTTTCCGCCACAAACTTGATCTCTGAACAGGTTCCATCATCTTGCCTCGACCTTCTACTGACCACACGGACGTCAGAATTACTATTATTAATGGTAGCCTGCAACACATTTTAAAGTTAAACTTAATACAATAATTACAAAAACAGAAATGTTTGGAACATTTTTTGTGACGTTTCGATGACTACACGGTCACCTTCATCTAATAACAAAACCAGTAAAAGATTAGAGTGTGGTGTTTCGATGACTACACGGTCACCTTCCTCTTATAACACAACCAGTAGAAGATTAGAGTGTGATGTTTTGATGACTACACGGTCACCTTCATCTAATAACAAAACCAGTAGAAGATTAGAGTGTGGTGTTTCGATGACTACACGGTCACCTTCCTCTTATAACACAACCAGTAGAAGATTAGAGTGTGATGTTTCGATGACTACACGGTCACCTTCCTCTTATAACAAAACCAGTAAAAGATTAAAGTGTGATGTTTCGATGACTACACGGTCACCTTCCTCTCATAACACAACCAGTAGAAGATTACAGTGTGACGTTTTGATGACTACACAGTCACCTTCATCTTATAACACAATCAATAGAAGATTAGAGTGTGATGTTTCGATGACTACACGGTCACCTTCCTCTTATAACACAACCAGTAGAAGATTAGAGTGTGACGTTTTGATGAATACACAGTCACCGCCATCTTATAACACAACCAGTAGAAGATTGGAGTGTGACGTTTCGATGACTACACAGTCACCTTCATCTTATAACACAACCAATAGAAGATTAAAGTGTGCCATTTCAATGACTACACGGTCACCTTCATCAGAAACCAAGAAACTACCGACATGACAATAGAATTGTCATCCAAATTCAAAATTGATGAAATGAACACAGAACATGAACAAAACTTGAAATAGATAAAATGAATAAGACCATTTGTTCCGAAAGTGTAAGCGTCTTATGCTTCATCGACAATACCTTCTATGTGAATATTGATCTACTTACGTCGCGTCATTTCTAAAATGAACAAAACATAAACAACAACGATACCATCAAAAGTTATATTGGGGACAACGAATATCATTATCATCTTGATGGCGACCGTAACAGGACTTTATACAAGTAAAAGTCAAAAGGAGGAACGTCAGAGTCCGTTTATTGATATGCCTCGTTGTTTGCTTTATGAAGATATTTTTACTGACGCTGAAATAGCCATGTTCGGTTTTTGGAAACGTATTTCTGATATTTTGTAGAATCTTTTAGAGAAATATGTACGGCAGCTAGCGCTGAGACAGAGTTTTAGATTTAAATTAGATAGAGTTATAGTGATATCTTGTTCAGTAGTGTGGTTTGTAACGATATGGTAGTAAGAAAGCCTTTTTATAGTGAAACAAAGACGGTACATGTATATGTTAGGTCATTTGGTGGAAAAGGCATTTTACAGTCATCGGAAAAGATGGTACATGTGTGTGTTAGATAATTTGGTGGAGAAGACATTGTTATATTAAACTGAAAAAATGGTACATGAGTTTGGTAGACAATATGATGGAAAAGACATTTTTTTATTGAACTGAAAAAAAACTGTACATTAGCATAATAGATGTGATGGGAAAAATGAATTTTTAAAAAAAGGTGCATGAATCTGATAATACAACAGGTAAAGTTATTCTCTACTGTATAAAGGAATGTGTGTAGGAAAATGTAAGAGAACGGGAGTTTGATATTGAAATTATATATGGTACATGTTTGTGATAATGAAATAGAACAACATAAACAGTTCTATACTAAAAAAGTGTAAGTATATGATAAATAACAAAAAAAAAAAACATCAAGAAGTTTATATCGATAAAATCACATGGTACATGTATATACAAATGGGGAAAAACAGTTTCATTGAAAAAGATATTGAAATAAAAAAATAGTATGATAAGTAGATAAGAAAAGCCTTACATGTAGATCTGATATCTGAGTATGACCCCTGTGTATTATCAAGAGAGACACTGCACACAGTACGTCAGTTCTATGAACACATTCTCAGTCTGACCGGCGACTTAGACTCTCGTACATATCAGTCGTTGACAACTATACGAGGTAATCACTAGCTAGTTTCGATAAAATTCCATACAAATAAAAAACCGTATTTTGATTTGTTCCTCCGATGTTAGATATCAACCTTTGGTTATAGAGTCAGTATTGCAGTATTCAATTTCTGTGTGGATCGGAGTGAATAATAAACGAAACATTCGTTTATGTAAAAAGATGATAAGATTTTAGCTAGTGTAGTTAGCCTATAGCCTCAAATCGCCATCCTAAACCAGCTTATTGGTATATTAGATGAAGTATTTCATTTCTTGTAGTAACAAGTCCTGACGTAAAGTATAAGTTTACTTGTCCAAGACATTTTCCGATAAACTACCAAAAAAATCTGTTTTCCTTTGCTTCAAGAGTTAACAGTTATTGCGTCATTCTCTTCACTGTGACGCTTAAAATAGCACCTTTGATAACGTCATGTACGCTTAAGACTCAATCACTCCGATGACTAAGATTTGTGTATTGATTGTCAATGCCAAAAAAAGCTCTCATAGGTGAGCATAGAACACCTTTAATTCTATGATTGATGGGAGGACATCCCTATAGGGTTCAGTATATTCCACCACACAAACAACAACTCGTGTCTTTTTGCCCGTGTGTCTTTGATTTGCTTCTTTATGACAACATGTCTTCTTTTGAAATCGGATCGGTAAATAACAAACAACAATTTCGGTGATATGACACGTTATGACCATGGACGAAATATTGTGACTTGTCCTTGCTGTGTGTGAACAAGTAGATATAAATGTCAATGACGTTTATGGCATAAAAATGGTAAGTATAGTCCTCACCCACTTCATACAATAAACGACAGTCCTTAGGCGGTCCACCGATATACATCTCGGTGTTTATTCCGACGCGGGAAGAAATGTCGTTGGCAAATCAAAGAATTTATAAAAAACCAATATACAATAAATCTCCGTTATGTTTTTGGTTATTCTTTGGAAACATAAGACAATACATGAGCCTTCATTTAAGTAAAATAATTATATATCTTCTTAATTTATGTTCAATAACGTTCCTTCTTCTGAAATAATGCCAAAAGTTGAAAACATGATGTGTCACACGGTAGTTGGTATCTTATTATGACGGAACAGGGTTTTTGATGAACTATTTGTTAAATTTTACAAATCAAGTATGTAGTTGTTATCAAAAAGTGTATTTAGATAATTAATCAAATGAACAAAACAAAAGTATTTCCAAAAGTGTTACCAGTACATAAGTATATATTAAACAAGTAAAAATTCTTGTCTTTCCAATGTTACCACTCCAATATTTTCGCCATTACAAAACACGTTATGCATGAATAACATTTCTTTTATCCAAACAAAACACCTTATGCGTGAATAATACATTGTTTCCCTTACAAAACACATTAAACATGAATTGCATATTTTCATCCCAACAAAGAATCTTCAACATGAATAATATTTCATTTTCTCTACAAAACACCAAATGCATGAATAATGTTTCATTTTTTTCCAAAAAAAAAAAAAAAAAAAAAAAACATCATATGCATAAACACAATCGGAGGGGTTATATCATGGTTTGTGTTCTACATAAGTTACACCATAACGTATTAACAAAAAAAACTAGTTTCCATGGTAATTCTGATAATTATTTCGTTAATTATAGAACTTGTAACAAGTATAGATCAGAATATCAAGGAATCTGAATAATTAGAAATTAAAATCACCAAAAGTTTTACGTAAAACATTGCGACCACGTTAGAGACACGTGATGTCGGCGCACCATACTGTTAATTAATTTTAACAAGAATATAAGAAAAACGTGCAGGAAAGGACCCATTGTAGTTCTCTCCGTTGTAATTTCAACAGCCAGATATAATTAATGTTCATACCAGAGATAATAAATAACTTTCTTTTAAAAGTTTCGGTGACACTTAAGACATTAAAAAAGGCGTTAGATTTGTTTGTTTTACTTTCTTTCTGATAAATCTTTACATGTCATGAGCAAACATGTCTTCACAAATTCACAATTGATTTATTTTACTTATTTTTCATATTTATGAAGTAATATGGAAAAGAAACATTGATTATATTTCTGCTGTTTAATAAATCTAAAAAATTGTACATCGACAAAACCGTTTTAGCATTAAACAGTTCCAGAATTGTTTTATTACTTCAAAATAATCATCATCATTATCTAATTGCCGGAGTTATCACATAACGTTTATGTAAAATTTCAATTAGAGCCTAAAAAAATAAAATTTGATGATGTAAGGAAGCCGAGGAACACAGATACTTACATGTTTAGTTTGTGTTATTTGTCCAAAGTTTGTGTTACATTCCTAAGTTCTGTTTTTCTTTTGTTCTGCCTTAGCGACCCGCACTTCGGCCCTCTACTCCGTTATTCCTAGCCTCACTGACGGCTTTATCACAATGTGGAACTCTCCACCTACTGGAGGTGCATTATGATGAGTCGTTCGTCCAAAGGAAGGTAAAAATGGACATTATGACAAGCAATGCCGGTTGTCATCGTTTCCTAATGAGGCCCCGAAGGGATCATATTCATACACAAAATTTGTAGGATAGTGTGAAACATTGTGTATCAGGTAGTTGATGACAGAAGCTATTGTAAACCGGAAACAAATGTTCATGACACCCTTTACATAATTTGAATAGTGACTATGTTAAGAACTTTTAATCCAAGAGAAAGTAATTTGATATAGATAACAGAAATTCAAGGGATAATTGCATCAACAGACAAAATAACTTCTATGAATAAGACCAAACTACATTTTTATCCATATTGACGATATATGATCACCCGTACACTACGTGTTTGTATTTCACTATCTTATGAAATGTATTGAAATTTGGAGTTAATTCACCTCCATTATCAGAGTTTTGACTTTTAATTTCGACCATTGTTTATTTCCCTCGGTTGCCTTATAGGCCAGATCTAACGTGTTAGTATCCAGCATGGTTGAAGAACCCTACAAGGAGGAATTATTCGGCTTTATTGTAACATACACATAACGTGTAATGTAAAATCCCCTTAAATTGTGACTAAGGTTCACATGGCGGGTGTCGTCGATGAGGCAGAAGACGCTTACTCTTCCGGAACATCTGGTATTATTATCCTTGTAATTTACAGGAGTTTCCGTGTAAATCGTTCTTTTGTTCCTATTTTGCCTTAGTTTTATGGACTTGGATTATGAGAAATTTGAAAAGTTTGTTTTTTCTTTCTTACGTCTTTGTGTAGTCTATTCTTCTGCTTTTCGTTTTTCTCTGATCCTGTCTGACTGCCGTGTACTGTTTATCAAACTGATATTTACTCTTTCTATGAGTTTCCAAAGCTAGGTCCATTGTTTCAACGTAGTTTTTACCAAAGTGTTCTTTCCTTTTCTCTACAACTGTTTATTGTTGTCTATTTTCATTCTGTTTCTATTTTGTCCTCATTTCCGCCATATTTAGTTTAAAGAAGACTTTGTCGACATTTGTGCGTAAATTCATTTTTTTTTTTTACCAAATTCCACCACTTTTTTAGTAATCATCATCTTTTGTCATAGATACTCCTTTTTCGTTTTTGACCGCGTATTGTTTAAGTCATAGGGTTAACAAGAAATAACGTTTCTTTACGGATACGAAACCTTCCTTCTCTTTAAGAAATTTTGTTCCAGTTTCAGTGGTTAGCAAGATATCTTGTGAGGATACAAGTGATATTGAAATATTTCTTGAATGACCTGTTAAAGGAGCAATGAATTACATGTTCCACAATTTAAACGAAGATAGATATATCAAAATAAGACAAAACCTGAAAAATGACGGGTTCGTTTTGTAGTTTTATATCAAATTTGTAGATATTTACTTTTAAGGTGTACAATTTTGTTTTAGACAAAGCAGATGTGTTTTTCTGACCTCTATAGAATGTTTTAGAATGCTGAAAAACGAGACAAATATATTTGTGATATCATGTATGTCAACAATGTTATTATTTCATTCGAAGCAGGGGTGTATGATTTTAATCTTGCTTTTCATAAGATTTAACTTATTTCTGATTCTGCTAGCGTTCATGCGAGAATATGACAAGCCATAAAACTCTGCCCTATATTTTTCTCTAAATTTAAAATATGTAATAATTCCGGATTATATAGTGTTT